ATGAAGGTCCAGGCACACAAGCTGTCTTGGTCGGACACTTTTGACGCCAATTAGAGTCTTGTCTTGAATTTCAACGACTGGCACAGGCAAACGAGCTGACAAAAATCTCCAGTCGGTCATTTTCCACCTTGGTCGATAATCACGTGTGGAGCATGCAAAAGAAATCAGATTCTGGGTTTTGTTTTGCGGTTTGAATTGTTAGTACTTGGTTTATGTATTAGTTGCTACCAATGTTTCACCTATATGCTGTGTTGGATGCTGGGTTTTGTTCTGTGGTTTGGATTGTTAGTATTTGATTTATTTATTGTAAAGATTTGTCAACAGAAGTCAATCGTACGTATTGAACATAAAGCTGTCTGGTTGATTGAGTCTCAATGTATAGAAATTATTCTTTCTTATTCTATCATTAATTATTCATGAATTGAAAGACGTAAAATAATTTCTGAAGCTTTATGTAAATGATAAAGGAAAACTTTATAAAATGAAGGAACAAGTTATTTGTAAAGTTTAACGTCAGTCAGTAAGTAGAATCAGGGGCAGGTCACATGTTAGATTTATAACGATATTTTAGTGTAAAAAATGTCTTGTATAATACATTGTAATTTGTATTGGATGTACATTTTTGCACAGTTTGATTTAAAACACTATTTCTTTAGGGCAGTAGTTCTCAACCTTTCTCAGTCTTCATACCCTGGAGCAATCACCTGGACCTATCACACCGCAAAATTTTATTACATCTACATTTTCAACATGTGTTGATGTGAGGTGCTCTCTCAATTCAAAATAAGTTCTTCTCCTACACCAGTTGGCCACACCCCTGACACCCTAGTCCCACACCCCCAGGGGGTAAAAACACTCCAGGTTTTTAGGGCAATAACTTGCTGGAGGATAAAACTTGTTTTCGTTTTATTTCTTTATTGTAAACAGCGTACCTGTAACTCTTTCAAAGACCGATTTTTAGGATGTAAAACTCCCTTACTTGTGAAATAAAGTAGATTTCAGAAAAGATGTAGAACTATTATTTTTAGCCATTTTATTTCGTTTAACTCAT